TGTGTGTGTGTGTGTGTGTGTGTGTGTGTGTGTGTGTGTGTGTGTGTTTTCATGGGTGAATGTCTGTAAGTGTAAAGCGCTTTGATGAAGCAATATATAAGTTCAGTCCATTTACCATTTAGCATTATGTGCATGTTATGTGTTGTTATATGTTACTGGGAAATAATTCCTGTCCTTTAAGTAAATCTATCTGTAGGAAATTTATGTCAATTTTCTAGTCATCATTACTCAATCCTAGGAAATACAAATATGAAAAAAAATCCTGCAATATTAGGTTGTTAACTCAGTGCTGATTTACACTTCCTTCAACACAGGAGTCTGACATGTTCTGAAGGTTGAATTGGCCCACCGGATGTAATATGGCTAAGGCATGGTATATGTCATTCTCTGAATAAAAGCTGTTTGAACATGCCTCCCACCTCAATGGCAATAAGCCAGAGGGAATGAGGTATGGAAGGGTTTTGAAAAATAGAGASCCACAGATTTCTCCTTGAAGCTTCGATTTTTGCAGCACAAGTTTTTGAAAGCTGTGGGTGACAGAGCAATAGCAAGTTGGTGGMATGCCACAGTTTGGGTTTTAAATATCAGTAAAATGCTCAACAAAAAGGACTAAATATGTTATTGTGTCAAGCCCTCTTGCTTGCATCACTGACTGTGGCTGGGTAGAAGTGACACTGATACCTATTTAAAAATCAATTTATGCAGACAAAAGCAGAAGATATGAAAAACATCTTTGAATAGCATTTATGAAAAAGAAAGGATTCCCTCACAATAAATAGACATGCAAATGCAAGGGAAGTGACAATAAATATTATCATCAGTCCTTCCACATGGCTGACTCTGTAAGCTTGAGAGGAACAGGTATGTAGCACATCCTGCCGTGTTTGCACCTGCAGTCATCTGTGGAGGTGGTGGGTATCAGGGAATCATAATAGGGGGCAGTTGTGTTTTTCCCCCTCGTGGGGAATCAAGCAAAAGGAGATGGCTGTTAATTAACTCCGTAGTCTGGAGGGAAAATGCGTTGGAGGCGTTGAGATGTAAAATGTAATTAGAAAAAGGAAATGCAGCTTGTACAGTTTGTGTTTGTACTTCTGATTTGTGTATGTGTGGGAGTGAATTAGCTTGCAGTTGAAAGATAAAGTGTGTCTTAGTGTAATTTGTTAGCAGGATTTAAACATTTCTGTGCACATGTTTGTGGTCTGCAATTATGTGCAGGATGTACAGATACAAAATGCAGGATCGTGCAACAGCACCGCGTTTAAGTCCTTGACCATTCTCGAGAGCTAAATTTACATCTTTAATCCAATCTGTCTGAGCAAGAACTGATTATTTGCTGGAGGTAACAGATACAATTGATTGTAAGATAATTAGACTGGTCCTTTCTCATGCTCCCGGATCGAAAAATTGCGCAAAAAAATATTTTTGTTCCAATACAGATACAATCATGCTGCATTGTTGTCTTTCAGTCTCACTGGGATGGTTTGACTGGAAGACTGTCCTTCAACAAAACAACTGGTCTACGCACAGACTTTGACCTGGATATTGTCAGCCTGAAGGAGGATGGCCTTGAAAAGGTAACTAGTTTGAAACATTGTTTATTATTACAAGATTCTTTGATAAAATGGGAAACAAGTATAATCGCAATGATTCATGCCACAATGCAGAAAAATAGGGTGYATTGCTTATATGGCTTTGTTACCCTATGTTTTTTTGTATTTTTTTCTATTATTTTTATTGTTTGTTTTTTGTCTCTTTTTATTTTGGTCCATGTCTTTGTGAAGTGTCTGTAATAAAGTGTGATGAAATATAAAACTTCTCTGATATGTGAACTATGGAAAGCACTGCTAGCTAACAACAAAATATGGTTGGTGCTATCTAAATGGCTCTGTACGATTTTTTTCTGTTAGAGCAACGATGGGCGGAGTTATACTGAAGGCTGCCACATGATGTCACGGGGCTACACTTTAAGACAYGCAAAAAATCCTGAAACACASWTATGTTGTTACACAAATTGAATTATATCTCCACAATTCAAATACCAATAGTTATGAGAATTTTTACTCATTTACAGCAATCCTTACGACATTTATAATGTTTAAAGAAGAAAATGTTACAATTTACTTTACACGGTCTTTAACTGAATAACTAATTTCAAAAACAATGCTTCGTATTTCTGTATCTTTGTAATTTTACTTTATCATTTATGTGTATATTTCAAGACAATTATAAGTTTATGGAACGTTTAAATAAATTAGATAAAGGCACATACTGGGGTGATATCACCCCTCTGTATGATAATCAGGGAGATGTATAAAACGTTTTTTTTGTTTCTTGGTGGAAATGAATTCCATAGATGTTACMAAAAATACATGAAAATAACAACAACAATGGTAGTGTAGAACAGTTACATCAGCTTTTGTTCTCTAAATGGCTTTCATACAATATGAATGCATAAAATAGTGATGAGTTCCATCATGGTTTCCTCAAATRCTCCCTAAAGGCTAAAGACTATACAGCCTAATAGCAGAAGCTTTTTCAGCTTATAATCCTCCAGAAGGAGCTTTAAAGTAATTYTCCCCCTTTTCACTGCTATCCTATCTCACATGGGGTCAATAAAGTAGAARTACCATTGTACTTCAAAAAGTATGTGATGCCATATTAGTGTCTTCTCATTGTGTTGCTGACAAATCCTTTGCTAAGTCACGTTAGCTTTATTCCAAAACTGTAGCTCAGAAAGCTGACTTTTTTTTTCTCTAGCATATCCGTGGAATCGGCTTTAACCGTGTGAGCCTGTTAAGATGTAGACTTTTTTTCGCCCCTCACCTAATCCCTTGTAATTGAATATTAGCCCAAGTTTGAGCTTGTGCTCGAATTATGAACAGGTTCTCAGAGTGTCACTTCCACACTTCAAACATGCACGGGGTGGTGAATTAAAAGGTAATGCTTTTTTATTTTTTTTTATTTTTTTGGTGTAGCTGGATGAACAAATAACTTTTTGCATTAAATATTGTACTGATCATGTTAAATGAATTGAGGTAATTGYAATTGGGTACAATTAGAAGGAGTTTTGTAAAGCGGAAAGCATTCTGATATTTTTAATTCTCTCCAGGAGCCCTCTTTGCTTGTGTGACAAGCTGTAACTAATGTGGTTTTCAAATTAGAGCATATGCCTCTCTCTGGATTAGGCAGGGAGGACATTAACAGGCATTTTTCATGCTTTTGTGTGTGTGTGTGCGTGCAGGGGGAGGTTGTGTGACTTTAAATGGATCCACCTCAAGCACAAACCCCAGCGAATATTAAAAGCTCKGTGTGTAGTAACAGTGAAAGCGGAGGAGGCTTTTGGTGGTGAGCTTGACTAGCAAACAGCGACYGTTATAGACAGCCACAGGACTATTTGTGCTAATGATATGTTTCAGAGTGTGTTTCTACAATGCGCAGAGATTTGTGCCTTAGGGCTTCTTGCATGTGTAACTCMTTTTATTTGTTCAAATCATTTTGCTCATAATACTGAGGAGGCAGAGAAAAAAACATTGTGCACTATGCAGCTCAGCCTTTTCCTGATTTTTATCCAAATTAACTGTAATTCATTTTAAATATTTGCATTGTTAGTAACAATATCACTCTTTAATAAAACACACTTCTTTGTAGGCAAATAACACAAATATCATTGTAGACATGTAATTATTTTTGAGTATCAAATCAGTTGAATTGCAGTCCTATGTTTTCACCTTCTATCATCGATTTATCCATTATGTTTTACTATTTTCTAGACATGTCCCTAACTGCCTCCTGCTTTTCAAAGCACCTTAGCCTGTTGATAGAAGGTGACTCAGCCAATCACCTAATGCTGCTGGAGATGTGTTCAGCCTGGCATTAATGTGGGAGATGGTTGGCGGAGGAGTTTTGTGGAGGTCATAGCTTACTGACGGACACGGGACACTTAGCTGCGCACTTTTCATCTTCCACAGGTGGGGAAGTGGAGTGTATCAGGAGGTCTTAACATCACAGAAGTGCCGAAGCGAAAAGGGATGAACATCACAGATTCCCTGGCTAACCGGTCTCTGGTTGTCACCACCATTCTGGTAAGTCACATGTGTAGCCTGGTGTAAAAAGGGTTTGTATGCTTCATGTCTCCCCCAGTATTTTGTATTAAATATGTTGAAATCCAAGCATCCCTATTTGTTCTTTGCATTGGTAATATCATTGCACTTTAGAGAATCAGATATATTTACTCATAATGCATTACTGTATTTGTGCTTTGGTTACTGTTTTGTTTTTTCTGACTGATAGTATGTCCAATATTTCAAAAAAATATATAGATGTTTATTAAATTTTAGCTACAGTCCTTTGAGCTTTACAATTCAACAAAATAAACTGGATAAAAAGAACAGAGTGATTCAGAGAAAGTCCTGAAAATGCAATAATTACACATTCAGACAGAAAAAAAAAACAATGTAATGTCTGTTCCAGATTCACATTACCATGCATTTGAACTTTTTTGTATTTAACTCTGTCACTGCCTGTTGAAGTCTGTTGGTGGAGCTATCAGTGAGGTGCTGGCACCCCCTGTACACCCCTTCAAGCTACAATGATAAACACTGTTATTACGCCTATATTGTACCACAAAGCTGTAATTATGACAAGCAAGACCACAGTGGGCCATAATTAATGCCTATCAGGTGCCATCTAATATTAATTCTGTCTTGAAGTGGGGATGCAGAACAACGATTTAAGTGGTCCAGTGTTTGAACTACTGTTCTGAGAGAAACCAGTTACTGGTTTTATGTCATCATGTGAAGTAGATATTTTTTTTGTCTCCTGAGTTGTGCAATTGGAACTTCCTCAACT